TATGCGGCCAAATGATCATTGGGATCAATGACTCCTTTGTAACAGATTTCAGGGGCTTTCACACCCCTGGGCAGCTGAGCTTTCATCACCCTGGCAGTAAAGGGAGAAATTATCTCCACTGTGGGTCCAAAAGACCCATCTTTGTCAATCTGCCTCTTTAGTTCCTCCATTTCTTTCCTCAATTTGAGGATGTCTCTGGCATCTTCATTGCTGGGCCCCAGAATTTTCTCCAGATTCCTCAGTTCTGGGTCCCAGCCTCTGGGACGCACTTTTGCGCATCCTCTGGTGCACTGATATGAGCTCTTGGCTCTCCACCTCCTCCCCCTCTCCTTGACTCGTTTCTCTCTCGGTCCCTTGGGACCGGGCCTCTCCTTCCTTGTTGAGCCATCCGATTAACTTTCGGACTATGGGGGAGTTGGCATCGAATCTTTCTGTTGCTGCTTGAGAGTCCTTTGGATGAGAACTCTTAGGGGCTTTAGAGTGTAAACTCTGTTCACAAGATTTGTCTTGTGTTTCATGCCTGGATTGGGAGAGAGTTATTTGATGTCTGAGATCCTGAGACGATAGCTTTTCTCTCCCCTCCAAGTAAGTTCGTGCCTTAGCAGTGATTTTGTTCCTCCTGGACCGATTTTTGCCCATGTTGACCGACTTATGAATGCAGTCCTCTGTGGAAGATCGGTCCTCCTTTCTCTCTTTTTTTTTTGATGATGGACCGACGAATACAAGGAGATGGACCGCAAACTTATCTCCTTCACTTGGAGTGGACCGCGAACTTATCTCCTTCACATGGAGTGGACCGCTGATTCTTCCCAAAGCTAGGGAGAGGCCCTCCCGAGTGAACAGGAGTGATATAGGCTCGCTATCAACTTTCCAGAAGGCTAGGAAACTTCAATCGGTCCCACGGATGGCGCCAGTGATGGATACCCAATATTTTCCCAGGGACTGTGGATCGGCCCAGGCAGAAATATAAGTATCCGGGCCTTATAATATTGAAAGATAATACGAGAATAGTAATTAATAATAATGGAAATACTGCTCACAAAATAGGAACTCAAATCGGCGGTCCTTTCCTTTATTCGGTCCACTCAGGAACGGAATATGCTTAAGGATTGCCGGAATATCTTTATTCTCTCTCTATTACAAGATCATCCCTCCTCTCTTTGCTTGTGACTCCCGTTTCTGGACCGCCAAAGATGACTCCTACTTGGGGAAATTCCTCCGGGTTCTCCTGGACTTGTTGTTGAGGTTGGGCGTCCCTACGCCAAACATTACCTCCTTGGTTTGGTTCCCGATTAGCATTCGGTTCCCTTTCCTTCATTTCTCCTTCCATCTTTTTGAGGAATTGGCATTCTTCAGTCCCAGGCCTTCTATGGAAGTTGCAATATTTTTCTGGGTCATAGGGCCACTACCTTCTTTTTTTGTCTCCACGTTTCCTCTTCTGTCCACCCCCCTCCTTGCTCTTAATTTCTGCCACCGGTACAGCCAGCGGCTTAAGGGTAGGGATTGAGAGAGTGGTCGCCTTAGCTCTTTCGCCTTTCTTTTCTTTGTCTGAACCTTTGTGCAAGGCTCCCTCATTTTTTCCCTTTAGGCGATCTGACTCTTCCGTGGCACAAAACTTGTTGACCCTAGCCATCATAGACTTGTAAGAATTAGGGGTATCGTAATCTAACCTTCTGAACAATTCCCCCGATCTGAGAACACTCATGAATAGAGCGATGGAAGTCTTATCGTCCATGGGCTCCACCTCATTGATAGCTTCATTCCACCTTTGTACCAACTCAGTGTTGGTTTCACCCTCCTTTTGTTTTAGGGAGAAAAGATGAGTGAAGTGCTTCTTTGGCTGGAACCTTCCTTCGTAGGCATTGAGAAAGAGTTGAGCAAGATCTTTGAAACAATCAATGGTCCCATTAGAAAGGGTGAGGAACCATTTTACGGCCGGCCCCTCCAAAGTTCCTACGAAGAGGCGACATTGGATCTCGTCCTCCACGGCGCGCATCAACATGTGAGTTTGGTATGCGGCCAAATGATCATTGGGATCAATGACTCCTTTGTAACAGATTTCAGGGGCTTTCACACCCCTGGGCAGCTGAGCTTTCATCACCCTGGCAGTAAAGGGAGAAATTATCTCCACTGTGGGTCCAAAAGACCCATCTTTGTCAATCTGCCTCTTTAGTTCCTCCATTTCTTTCCTCAATTTGAGGATGTCTCTGGCATCTTCATTGCTGGGCCCCAGAATTTTCTCCAGATTCCTCAGTTCTGGGTCCCAGCCTCT